TTCCCTTGCTACCAGGTTCGGCATCTCCTTGGGGGGCTTTTCGGAGGGGCGGGCCGTGGGGTTGCAGCCTTCCTCTGTGGGTGGGTCAGTGGTGCTGGTGTTATGGTAGCTTTGTCCTAAGACGGAGCCGTCTTGGATCTCGTTCCCCTCACTATGATGACTGATATCGTTAGTAACTGGAAGCTGGAGCAGTTTGTGCTCCAGAAGTGTCTTCCCCCAGTTTGGTCACCGGGGGCCTTCCAGGGCCCGGAGGCATACCAGCAGCTCTGCCAGCAGTGGGAGAGCTGGTCAGAGGAGACCAAAAAGCCCAAACCCACAAACAAGTGCAAGAAGCGAGCAGCCTTGCAGGGTTTGCTGATGGTGAGCAGGGAGTTGTCCAAATTGCTGAAGGAAGCTCTTGAGAGTGTGCAGACGCTGGAGCAGGCCAAGGGTGAGCTCAAAATGCAGGTGGACAACCTGCGGGCAGAGGTGCAGGGTTTGTGTGGGGACTCTCTGCGGAGCGCGGTGGAGATCACCCGGCTGGAGAGCAAGCTGGGCTACGAGAAGCTGAAAACGGAGGAGCTGGAGAAGGAGGTTGGGAAGTGGATTGGGGAGACCCATGATGCCCAGAGCGCGGTGCGGGCGGTCCTGCAGGACGTCCAGCGGGACCGAGGCACCGGCCCCGATCACAAGGTATGCCATGCCAAGATCCAGGAGCTGCAGGCAGAGCTGGGGGTGTCGAGGGGCATCGTGGCTGCCATCCAAGGCAAGAGGAGCCGGTTTGGTAATGGTGAAGGGGAGGACTCCCTGGACCCGCACCCGCCTCACTATGACTACGAGGATGATGTGTGGAGTGCCAATGGCCCCACCAGGCCATCCCCCTACGCTCCTCTGCGAGAGGAGATGTGTCAGCTACAGGGAGGGGAGGTGGAAGCTTCCAAAATTAAAAAGAACCCCCCCGATGAGCCAGCTGGCCATGGCCCGCTCCATGCCATAGACACCAACAGGCCTGTGCTCTGGTTTACCCCCGAGCAGCTCAAAACGGTGGGGAAGATGCTGGGGCCATTGACGAAGGAGACAGCTGTCAACTGGCTGTCCAGGGCACAGCGGCTGCCCAGGTGCCAGAGCGGCAACTCGGTGAGTGACCTGATAGACGTGGTGAGAAAGTGCATGAAACCAGACGATTTCGCAGCACTGCCGGGGGACGTGCAGATGGGTAACGTACAGGACATTGGGGATGTCCAGTCCGCTGTGCTGAAGGTGTTCTTCCCTGAGGTCAACCCCTTAGTGCTTTTCCACCAGGAGAAGCAAAACCCAGAGGAGCGTCCGGATGCTTACGTTAACCGTAAGAAGATGCTCTACCAGATGGCCGGGCTACCTGGCTCGAAAGACTCTCCCCTCGATTTTGACAGGCCTGAATTCAAGGAGCCGCTCGTGGTGGGGCTGACGCCCCCGTTGAGGGTGATTGCTGGTGGAGATGCGGCCCGGAAGCCGCTGTCAGAGCTGGAGCAGATCCTGACTCAGAATTTCGAGCTGCAAAAGCAGGCCTTCCCAGGGTACATGCTGGGGGGGAAGAAAGGGAAAACCTCAGCCATGTCCTTCCAAAATGCGGGTGTGAGAAAAATGCAAGGAGACAACCGAAAAGATCCTGACGGCAAGGGTGGTTCGGGGAAGGAGAACCAGCAAGGGTTGAGGTTTCAGAAATCCAACCCTTGGCGGGCTGAGCTGAGGAAGCGCTTGATAAAATATGAGAAGCAGGAGGATATTGATGGCTTGCCGGATGTTTTCGAAAACTGGCCCTGCACGAGGCCAAAAAGCACAGCAGCTCCAACCCGATTGACCCGGGGTCTAAGGCTCAGCAATAGGGCTGCCAGGCACCCGCATCGCCCCTTTTTGTGGCACCGATTAAGACCGATTCGTGGGGGCGCCTGATAGTTGATATAACTATTGGAGGAGGGGTGCTTGGACAAGTGATGTTAATTGATACTGGTGCCTCTTATTCAATTCTGAATATGGCCCCCGGCGAAGCCGGGATCTTCCAAACCTCTGAAATTATTGAACTGACAGGGCCGAATGGCCAAAAATCCTCAGTGCCATTCACAGGGCCCGTACCCTTTGAAATCGGGACTGCCAAAGGGTCTGAAAAATTTGGGAAAATGGAAATGAAGGGAAAGCCGGGAATTTTAGCTATCTCTGCGCTGACAAAGATGGGGGTGGTGGTGGACCTGGCAAACCAAGCGCTGTTACACTGCCCCCAGAGCAATGCGCCTGTCATCCCGGCGAGCCACAGGGTGATGTCAGTGAAAGCCCCTGAGCTCCTGGTCCACCCCGAGTGGGAGCCCCGAGTGAAACGGGTCACAGAGCAGTTCCCCCAGGTGTGGGCAAGGAGCAAGCTGGACTGTGGGCAGATTGACACTGTTGTGGCAGTCAAAGGGCCAGATCCCCCTCCTCAGCCGCAGCCACAGTACCCGGCTGAGGCTGAGGATGGTTTGTGGGACACAGTCAAAACCTTGCTGGAGCAGGGTGTGCTGGTGGAGCAGCAGAGCATCAGCAATGCCCCAGTGTGGCCCCTGCGGAAAGCTGATGGGAAAACGTGGAGGCTGACGGTCGACTTCGGCGCCCTGAACCGTGTCACCCCACTACGGACCTCTGCGGTAGCCAAGTACCCCGACATCATGGCAGCCATCTCCCAGGGATCCGAGTGGTTCTCAGTGCTAAGCCTGACCAGCCCGTCCTTCGCCATCCCCTTGCACCCTGAGTCCTGGCACAAGTTTGCTTTCACCCTGCGAGGACGGCAATTTGCCTTCACCAGAGTCCCCCCAGGCTTCCACAATGCCCCAGCCATCTGCCATGCACATGTGGCAAGGATGTGGGAGAAGCTCAGCCACCGGGAGAGCGTGCTGTCCTGTGCTGGTGACATCCTCATCCACACCCAGACGAAGGAGGAGAACCTGGAGGTGCTGGCAGAGGTTCTAGAGGCTGTCCAGAAGACGGGCTTCAGGATCAGCCCCCCAAAAGCCCAGCTCTGCTGGAAAGAGGTCTCCTACCTAGGTGTGACCCTGGGGGAGGAAGGGCGCTCGCTGGAGAAGCAGAGGGTTGAGCTAATACAGAAGGTGTCGGCGCCAGCTGATGCCACCACGCTGAGGTCCTTCCTGGCTCTCCTGCGGTTCTCACGAGAGTTCGTTGAGGGCTACGCAGAGAAAGCTGCCCCCCTCTGCCACCTCCTCAAGAAGGACACCCCCTGGGAATGGGGACCAGAGCAGGACGAGGCAGTGAAGACCTTAAAGGAGAGCGTGGCACAAGCCCCCATGCTGGCATGTCCCCAGGGGGACAGACCCTACGTCCTGCAGCTGGCCAGCACGGGGAGGGGGCTGCGGGCCACCCTGAGTCAGCAGCACAGTGCCCACCTCCTCCCTGTTGCCCATGCCTCGCGCCTCCTGACACCAGCTGAGCAGCAGTTCACTGACTATGAGAGGGAGGTTTTAGCCTTGACCTGGGCCCTGCAGCACTGGGAATACCTGGTGGGGTCATCCCCGGTGCTGCTGAGGACCTCTCGTGCCCCGGTGAGGTACCTCTTGTCGGGGAAGGGGGACACAGGTCCCCTGCGCTGCCCCAGGATGGCCAACTGGGTGTTGGCGTTGACCAACAAGGAGGTCCCCGGGGAGGCGGGGATGCCCTCTCCTGGCACTTACGGGGTGGTAATCAGTGCAGAGAGGGATGGGGAGGAGCCGGGGGGTCCCCCAGACGAGCCCAAGCTCGGGCGGCCGCCCCTGTTTGAGAGCGGCCTCAGCCTGGCGGAGGCCAAGGAGAGGGGTTATGCCGTGTGGTTCGTAGATGGGTCCAACTACCACGAGGAAGGGGTGCTCTACACAGGCTACGCTGCCATCAACCGTGACACCGGGGAGGTGGTGAAGGGGAAGTGTCTGCCGCACTCCATCCAGGCTGCCCAGCCGGGGGCCGTGGCGGGCCCCCCGGGCAATACGC